GGAGAACAGAAAATTAGTATTTCCCAACTGCTGGAATACAGCATGGAGCTGGCAGAGCAAGACAAAACGGAGCAGCTGAAAGATGGGTTTAGTTTATGTTTGAGACTAGTTCAGCAGCCTGGCAGGTCTGTGACTGCAGAATATAGTGACATAAGTAGTTTAATAGCACCTTCATAACCCCCCTTTAGGCCAGCAGTGGACTTTGCCTCTTTGAAGTCCAAAGATCAGGATGGATCTGAATAGTATGGTTTTTAATCTTCTTTTCTTTTTTTTTCTTAAAGAAAAGCTGCTGCTTATATCACCTCATTGCCGTTAAAGCAAAATGGGGGGGGGGGGTGAACCTATTAAAAAAAAATCTAGATTTGTCTTCCGAGGGGATTTTGAATGACAACAGCTAAAGCAGAGAGAGGCACTGGGTGAAGTCATTCTGTTTGAAGCCAGTGGATTGCCTTCATTGGACCCTGGTTGAAACTAATCTGTTGGCAGGAAAGACTAATGCATATTGATAGTGCACTCCCCTTATCAGTGATTACAAACACATGCTCTGGGAAGTCCCGCCAACAGATTTGGTGTCCTACAGTACCAGAACTTGTGTGGAAAGACAGTGTTGTGTAGACTAAGGGGAAGGCGCATCATCCAGCTGGAGATACTTTAAGGTCTTCTTGTCTTTTGAATATATGAGAGTCAAGAATGCCTTCTCTACTGAAGTCAGTAGACCTGATTTAAAATAGATATTTATATCTGTGCCTTGTGAATGCAAAATGCTTGTTAGTCAGAAATTCCCCATTTGGTGAGGCCAGCGCTCACACCTGCATAGCAGCAAGTACAAATACTTAGCTGAGGGTCAAAGCAATGGCAAATCAGTCCCAAGAATGCTTAAATACCCCCAGTACTGCTGAAAGGAGAACATCGTGTAGCCCTCGGGACGCATATACTGTGATACAGCAAATGCAGTCTCTGACCAGAAACACATTTTCATTACATTTAATTTCTTTTGGCAGGACATGCCAGTTTCTATCTTTAAACACAGGAATTGTCGACAGCTACAGTGTGTCTGTCTCCTTCCTATAAAAGAAGCACTGGAGAGAAACAAGGCTGTTTCTCCTTTCTTGTAAAACAAGGCTGCCATTTTTTCAAACTGAAAGCAAGTGGGAGCAAATTATTTGGATTTCCTGACAAAAACTGCATGAACAAACACCTTTAATAAAAATGGATTTTTCTCCTCATAATGCTTCTCTCTTCTTTTCCCCACGATCATAGGAGGCCCTGCTTTCTGTTTTCAGCTAGAGAACATCTTTATTATCCTCGCAGACAGTGAATAACAAGACATTCATTTGAACTACATTTTTTTTGGCAATAAGAGTCGGGGAAAGAATAGGAATAAAAAAATCAGAGATGTCAGGAACAAGTTCTGCCTGTAAGTACACGTTCATAGCTCTCAGTTCCTTCTTTGGTTGCAATGGGAGCTGGTGTCTCTGAATTTTAAACAACCAAATTATGTTTGTCATTCAACTGTATTGCTTTTGCATGCTTTCCTGTTCTTTCACTCCTTTCTTAGCATATGTAGAGCTGGGTAGTTTTTACCGTCTTAGCCCAGCAATGCAGTAACATCAACCAGAAGTGTAGTTCCGTAAAACATATTGTATCATTGAAACAAAAGTAAGAATGGATAGATCTTTGAAAGAAAGTAGCTATGTTTTAAAGCACATTTGTACTGAAATTCAATGGTCTTTCATGAAATTTTCATCCATATAAGAATACTTACACTCCATTCCCCTGCCTGTCTCTGCACATTAGTTACATATGTGTGTACATGTGTGTGTAAAAGTGTACACATGCGTGTACAGCCACACACACAAATACATATACAACTACTCATATCTGTAAATATGCATGTAAAACGTGTTTCTTGTGCAGGTGGAGTTTGGTATATTGTGTGTGCATGCACACAACTAAACATATTTCAGTATATGAATGAAACAGAGGTACATGTGAAAAAAAAGGGAAAGAGGGAGGGAAAGGTGCAAAATATTTCAGACAAAAGGAATGACTGTCCAGTATAAAAAATTCGGGAACTGCTGGTATTGATAATGGCAGACTGAATGAGTCAAATGTATTATGAGTAGTTTTCCCGTTCCATACTTGAAGAGATTACGCCTATTTATCTTAAACATCTAACATATGACAACTTCATAAAGCCAGTTTAATAAAGGAGTGCTCTAGTGACTCCTAAGTATTCCCATATTTTGACTGTCCAGTATAAAAAATTCGGGAACTGCTGGTATTGATAATGGCAGACTGAATGAGTCAAATGTATTATGAGTAGTTTTCCCGTTCCATACTTGAAGAGATTACGCCTATTTATCTTAAACATCTAACATATGACAACTTCATAAAGCCAGTTTAATAAAGGAGTGCTCTAGTGACTCCTAAGTATTCCCATATTTGCAAGATCTGAGTTTCAGAAAGGCAAGGTTTTGATGGATGAAGTAAAACAATTTTTTCAATATAATTCAGGTAATCAATTCTCCACAAAAAAGGAAACATAACTCTTTAGCAGTTGGCAGCCGTTACATAAATAAATACAACAATTTAGGGAAATATGGTGGCATCTGCAATGATGAAAGTTAGACAGGAGAATAACCGGAGATACTGCTTCGAACGACACAGTGTAAAAGGAAGCTTACAAGACTGCAACAGGAAATTGTTTATCAAAATGAATTTAGAATGATTTTCAAATGATTAAAATTACCTGATGAAACTTATGTTCAATAAATTAGGAAGTACTTAATGAATGTTGCATTCCATCAGGAATTATTAACAATTAACATATGAAAAGATGAAACATGAGATTCGTAATAAAGATGTGGATGGAGGCAAATGAGACTGCCCTCATATCAGAGTTTTCATCTCTGCGTGGCTTCGTCAAATGTCTGATCTTGTTT